AGAAGCATGTAGTATTTCTTACTAAGAACTGCAATTTTTGCCAATCTACAATCACTAAATATATTAAAACCTTTAGCTTTTCCATTGCTAAAATTGCTAATACTACTCAGATTATTCTTTGTTTCCTGCAGGGTATCATTTTCTTTCTGCTTCTGAGGAAACACTTTTAAGCGCTTCTGAGAAGTACAATAAAATGATATAAAGTACTGTAATCATTAACCAAACTAGCCCTGAACTTCAATGCTAGTTAGAGGTAAATTATACAGCTTAAAAACAGTAGAAGACAGAACAAGTGTATTTTTCTTTTAGGGGACAGAGCCTGCTCTTATTTTCCCAGATTATGCTTGCCATATTCTGACATTAAAGACTTTCCAAATCAGCAGTTATTCAGCTTGCCGCAATATTCAACGGTTTCCATTTTCTCTCATGTCTGGCTTGTACCTCTCCCATTTTATTGCAAAATCTCCTTCACTGATTTGCATAAACTTTTTAGGAAAGCCAGTGCTTCTGCATTCTGCTACCTGTGCCACTTTAGACTGCCTCTTAGAAGGCACTCGCTCACCAAACAATGGTAGCAAATGATGTGAGACCAACGTTTTGCTGTGGACATGCCACCTCTACAAGTGTGTGCACCTCTAAAGTGCAGAAATGGCAGCCAAAGCACCACAAGAGAAAGGTTAATATGAAGTTCAGAAGAAATATTTGTAGGAATAATGCACGACACTAGCTTTAAAAATAAGCATACGCTTCTCAAATACATTGACTTGCCTATTGTAAAATTAGGCAGTAAAATCACTTTTCTTCAACAAAAGTCTCTCCATGTATTTTCTCAGCATTCCACAAGAAAGTATCATTCTAGAAGCCAAGACCTTCATGAATATCAACCACAAAATGCTCTTTGAAACAATGTCTGTTTAGATCAATATTCTTCATATGATAAGCAGTTAACACAATACTAAGCATTGATATAGCTGTTTGAGAAGAGATTTTTATACAAATGCTCTTTTTCCAACTCGTGTAATTTTATCTTAAATATGACTTCCAGGCAAGCTATACTTGGTATCACCTTCAGTACAACTTTTTTTTTTTTCTTTTTTTTTTTCCCAAGCTTACATTAGACAGTTTAGTGCAGAAATATTCATTGCAGGGCCTCTGGTAAGCAAAGGATACTCAACTCTCTATTTCCCTCTCATCTGACGCAGCTGCTGTAGTTAAGCAGCTTAGCCAGTGTCTAAATATAGAGATGGGCTAGATGCAGACTAGCTCACTTATGATCCTTCAGATTCCATTAATATTTTGCTTGTGGTCTGGGAAAGCTAATTGGAAGAACCAGTGGAAGACCATTTAGCATCTTGGCTCTTGAAAAAGTAACCACTCAATTCACAGACTGGAGGTCCTACTGATCCCACCCAGAGTATCATCAGTGACCAAAACTTTTTTTTCCATTTATACTTGGAGAAAAGTTTCAATGATTTCCTTTGCACACAGAGATCGCTACAGTCATTCATGTTTTCGCTACCCTGACACTGAAGGACTTGAATATGCTCTGGCTGTCTAGCTACTAGAAGGTCACTTGGAAACTTAAACGTGCATCTTTCAGGGACATTCCACTTCTATTCCACACCTTCTTCCAAATTATCTTCCAAATTATTTCTGTCTCTGATACAAAGGACTCATTTTGACTTGTCGGTTGTGACCTGAGGAAAAGCCTTCATGCCTATGCAAACCTATGAAGTCTTGCATCTAAGAAGCGGAATTTTCAGTTAAGGGAGGCTCTGCAATGGCATTTTTGAGGATGGCTCTTGGTTTTTGACAAAATTCTTTCTACAAGTCAGTCTACACGTCCTTCACTGGAAGGCAACAATTCTTATGTTTTCTCTAAAATTTTCATTAAGAATAAACAAAATGAATGAAAACATTACATTTAAAAATGAGATTCACATCATTCAGATATTAACTGCTGTGTCCTCAGTCTTTCAAATAAGTATGGAGTTGGGACAACAGGTAGATGCTTTTAAATAATTAAGCACAATGTTAAATCAAATGGAATTCAATCCATTTACTTTAAAAATCTCTGTTAAAAGATTAATAGTTACCATGCTAGTACCCAAAAGTATCAAATCACTCAGATACTTGCAGGATGTCATAAGCTTTCACTCCTTCTAAATAACCATAAAATTGTATAGGACTAGACAGTGATACACCAACACAAAAATCAATAATGCATCAAAGTCTCTGATACAGCCATGCTGGAAAGAGTCGTCTGGAGGAAAGAAAGTCCTCCAAAGCGCTGCTGTTCCTTCATTGCTCCCCTTCCTTCCTAAGTCATTCAAGTCTGGAGTACTCCAGTCTGTTCTGCCTTCTTTTTGTACCTCCTTCAGTTTGTTCACTATGTAAAGTACGTAACATTGTTGAACTCAGACACTGCAGAAAGCATCAGAAGAAATTTAATTTTTCCTCACGAATCTGGTCTATTTTTGACATTAAAATAAACTACCAAAATGCCAGAAACCACTGTGTAATTGTGTTAATTTTTAAAATAATTCTTGTAGGACTACCTCACTTGTGTAGATATGTATTTAATTTGTGTATGACTGGACCAGTGATAGAAAGTAATACAAAAAGGATCATCCTGTTCTGAAGGGAAAGACAGAATACAGATGAAAAAGATTAATGAAATATTTTATTAAATGCACGTTTACATTGCTGAGTCTTTTGCTGACTTGGAAAGGAAGAATATCTGTTCTACAGGAAAGAAAAAAAAGTACAACTTTCTAACAGACAATACTAGATTTATTTCTGTCAATGACAGCTAATCATTCACTTTGCCAAATCTCCATACACACTAAATACCTGTGGATACTGTCTTTCCAGCACAAGTTTCTTGTTTTTGCTGACCCAGCATACTTTGTTGGACACAATGTTTCTTTGCAGGATTAGTATGCAAAAAACCACCACCTGCAAAAGTGCTTCAGTCAGTTATAAATAGATCCCAGGACAAAAAAAGCAAAAAAACCAAACAAAACCCAAACAACCCCCAAAACCAACCAAAAGCAGAAAAAGACAACATAAAACATTAACTTTCAGTTAATGCATTAAGAACGCTACTGCTTCTTGCTCTTTGCCATTTTTCTCACCTCAAAAAATGTTTTCAAATCTAATACATGAAGAGGGTGGAAGAGAAACTAGAATATACACAGGGCAAGCAGGAAAAGGACAAGAGAACTAGAAATTGACACTTGGAAAGTGTCTAGGTCAAAGAGTCAGGGTAGGATATGGGAATTAAACGCAGATTTCGGACGGCTAACGAACATTACTATTACATGTGCTTTGGAAAAGAGAAGCACTTAAGACACACGGACAACCTCGTATCTTGCATTTCTTATCTTTTTAGTACTTGATTTTTTTTAAGAGTAATATAATTATGTCTATATAGGAGTCCTTTTGTGCAATTTAAAAGAGATTAGAAAAATAAACAATATAATGAAGTATTCCAACGCAAGATGGGAAAAATCACAGCGCATCATTCACACAAACACTAAGATACAGAATGTATACATATGCTTTGAAAACACGTTCTGGTATACCACAGGAGGAACAAGATCAAAATAGTTTTGTTAAAATTCTAAAAGGAATATTAGTCCTCTTTAGCGCTATATGTAATTAATCCTGATTTGAGCATCAATGTGATTTGGCAGTTGTGCACTAAGCATTTTATAATTTAGAAAGGTTTTCTTTGCTTTAAGGTCTGTGCAAGTTTTTTATTTTAAGGGATTAGGATTACAGTGCATTTCAAGAAATTCTGTGAGCAGTGGGATACTTCCTGGATTCCTTAAATATCCTCCAAAAGACTCTTCTTAGCAGAAGAGAGCATTACAACAACAAAGGTACACAATTTAATTTTCTGACATTAACTGGACTCCGTTAAAGCAGACATTCAACCTCACGATTTCTTTGCAACATTTTTTTCAGTGTGGGAATAAGCTAAAACTATTTTTGGCAGAAAAAGCCATTTTGGAGGGATAACTCATACAGTAATCCAAGATCATGGGTACATAGGTCACATTTAGGGAAGTTCTTCAGTTTCCTGTCTAATTCAGTCTTTTTTTTCCCCAAAACATCCTTACTGCACTATCAACCATATAGTGGTATGTGCCAAAGTTTATAAAGATTTACTTTTCCTAAAACTAGTGTCTAACATAACCTAGGGGAAAAAAAACACAGGATGGAGAAAAAATATTAATAATCTCTACTGTTAGGTAACTCCCGTTTCTCAATGTCCAGAACTGCTTTTCTCTGTTGTTTGAAAGCACACATAGGAGTTGCTTCATTATCATGCTGTCATCTATCTGGACTTCTGCAAGGCCTTCGACATGGTCCCCCACAATATCCTTCTCTCTATACTGGAAAGATATAGATTTGATGGATGGACCACTCCATGGATAAGGAACTGGCTGGATGGTGCATCCAGAGGGTAGTGGTCAATGGCTCAATGTCCAGAAGGAGGTAAGTGACGAGTGGTGTCCCTCAGAGGTCCGTATTTGGACGAATACTGTTTAATATTTTCATCAATGACAGACAGGTAGATCAGGTGCACCGTCAGCAAATTCGCAGACGACACCGAGCTGAGTGGTGCAGCTGACACACCTGAAGGATGGGATGCCATTCAGAGAGACCTGGACAAGCTCAAGAAGCAGACCTATGAGAACCTCATGAAATTCAACAAGACCAAGTAAAAGGTACCTCCAGAATCAATACAGGCTGAGGGATGAAGACAGCAGCCCTGAAGAGAAGGACTTGGAGGTACTGGTGAACGAAAAGCTAGACATGAGCTAGCAATGGTCACATAAATGGGCTCAAGATAGTGCCTGGCCTCTGCAACCACACAAATCACTATTAAAGATGAAAACACTGGTTTTGTGTTTAAGCATGGAACTTCTGTCTGAGAAAGGCTGTTAGATCCATCATTGAAGATTGCGTTTCAGCTTCTGTGTGCCTCTACTAGTTTCAGCAACCAACCATATCAAACTTCCAAGTGGGCGTTATCTAGAAACCATGCTGCTCCAAGAGGACTCAGTTGAGTAGAATAGAAATTATTTTGGTATCACTGCAAATCCAGTGCTTTATCTTTGTCAGTTTTGCCCAGTCATTCTGTTCCATAGAGGATACCATCCCTGGAGATTTGTGAAACAAGGCTTCCGTGATGCAGCCACTCAGGGGAACAAATTGTGCAGAAAATAGCTGAAGAGAGGTGATGGAAGCACTGGTCATAAACTCGTAACTCATAAACCTTCAATGGCGTTACAAATATAACTTAGGTACTTTAGAAGGTGGGGATAAACAGAAGATTCAAAAGAAAAGATTGTAATTGGATTTTAAAGGAATACTTTCCGGGAGAACTGCTAGTTGAAACATCTTTTAGCGAGCTTCAGGAAAGATATGGGCCTAAACAGCAATTCATTCCCTGTAAAGTCCATGTCAATGTAAAGTCTTTTTTAAAGGGACTATCAAGATGACACCAACCTGGAAGAATCTTCATATGCCTAAAGTAAGTAGTAATTAATAGACTTATTTTTTCCTTAAGTGCAGGAAACAGTAATGACCATGTCTGCTACAAAAACGAAGGCAGAATTCTTCAGAAACTAAGCAGCACAAAAAGGTCAAGTAGAACCATTTTATGAATAAATCATGAAATATTTTCTGACCAGACTCTTGCTCTCCGTTCAGATAAGCTGAGAATAGAATTTGTCTTTGTCTTACTGAGAGTTCAATCCAGCCCCCTTCCCTCCATGGGACAGAAAACATGTACATCTGATTGCAATAAGGGAATTACTTACTCCCAATTTTTTTCTTTTCAAATCCTGATGTGCAAATAGACAGCACAACAGAAGAGCAAAATTGTTATTCCTTCTACAGAGTATCACTTTTTAATGAAAATCTGTGCACTCCTTTCCAAAGGGAGCCTGTGTGCAAGAGAAAACAATTCACCACTTAGGCTCAATAGAATAAATGTATTTTACTTGAGGCATTAAAAGCATCTATATGGTGACTTCTGTGGTGCAAAACTTGGAAAGTGCTCCTTCATTGAACATGAACAGAGCACCAGAAGACCATCAGTCTTGGCCTGGCCTATTTTGAGTCTTCCAGTATGAATTATATACAGGATTTATCATTCCCCAAAGAAAGGGCCAGGACACATTGTTAAATTTAGATGACAGTTAGAGAGTATTTTCTGAGGGATTTTGTAAATTGCTCATTTCTTTTGAAAAAGATCTAAGTCATCTAACTTTTGAATGAGGAATCTCTATCCAGAGTTTTTGTTTGCTCTACCTGTCCCCCCTTTTCTTTCTTCATGACCCAAATTTCTTCAGAAAAAGATTCTACAAGTCTGGCTGAGATATGCAAAACATTTCTACCTGTAGCCAATTCCACTAAGGATTAAAACAAAAACAAAGATTAGAGGATCTCCACAGTACTTCAAATGGACATGTATATTTTTTCAAAGACAGGCACAGCCCTGTATAGCACAGAAAAACTAAAACATCTTCAGAAAGACTATGGTCCTGGCTAGAAAGACATTTGCTTTCAGAACATATAAAACTATCA